AGGCTCTCGCTGCTGCTGCTCACGCTGCCCCGGCATCGGATCACCTGGAACTTGGACTCCCATCTATGGAGAGAACCAGGAGGAGCTGGTACCTTCTCTGTACTTGAGACCAGAGGTCCCCGCCTATCTCATGAAATATGTTACATGATGAGCACTATAAGAGGGGTCCCTGCAGAGAACACAAGGGCCCACAGAGACTACTCACTCTGCATGCACAGCCAGATGACCAGCATCCTGGCAAGGTGGGTGTAACTTTGATGCTAATACTTTGCAGCCAGTCATTTGTGAAAACTGACAGCCCCACCCTCTGTCTCTCCCTGAGCTCCCCTCTAGAAACCTGATCCCTCCTTCATTTCCCCCCACCCCCCCAACCTACTGTAATCTCCACTCATGTCCCACCATTCACCTTCACTTCTCCCTTCCTCAATCCTTCCTAGCTGCCCTTCCTCCCTAAAGACCCAGAGATAAAAATGAAGTACAATCTGTACTACGTGTTAAGTGTTAACAATCTCTTTCCCTAACTCTGTTTTTATTTTACTTTTATTTTGAGACAGGGTCTCACTCTGTGACCCAAGCTGGAATGTAGTGGCACGATCTCAGCTCACTGTCACCTCCACCTCCTGGGTTCAAGCAATTCTTGTGCCTCAGCCTACCAAAGAGCTGGAACCATAGGCACACATCACTACACCGAACTAACTTGTATTTTTTGTAGAGACGGGATTTTGCCATGTTGGCCAGGCTGGTCTCAAACTTCTGGCCTCAAGTGATCCACCACCTCAGCTTCCCAATTTCTCCCTAACTTGTTTTTTTTTTTTTTTTGAGACAGAGTCTCCTTCTGTCACCCAGGCTGGAGGGCAGTGGTGCGATGTCAGCTCACTACAAGCTTTGCCTCTCAGGTTCAAGTGATTTTCCTGCCTCAGCCTCCGAGTTGCTGGAATAACAGGAGTGCGCCACCACACTCAGCTAATTTTTATATTTTTACCAGAGGCAGGGTTTCTCCATGTTAGCCAGGCTAGTCTCCAACTCCTAACCTCAGGTGATCTGCCCACCTTGGCTTCCCAAAGTACTGGGATTATAGGCCACCACACCCAGCCCAATCTCTCCCTAACTTTAAAAGGGGACAGATTGACTTTAAAAGGGAATAAATTGACTGTTTCAAATGTAGCTCCTATGTCAATGACCCTGACTTTTTTAAAAGTTGCCCATTCTTATTGTAACACCTTTCATAAAATAAAGTGACTTAGCAACACTTTAGCTGCTATGCTCAATTGATAACACATATCTGTTTCTCAATTTCACTCAAAACATTCTAGGGAAATGGCTGTTCTAGTTAACCAAATTTTTCAGCTAATGAAGTTTGTTCCCTCTATATCCTAATTTTTGAAAAAACAATTTTGGTCTGGCTTCTTTATATATATATATTTCCTGCTTTCTTCCTCAAAGCATGCTGAACGTAATTTAAAGTTCTCTCAGTGACTCAGGATCATCACTGTATTATCCAGGTATGATCTCAGAGGTGTTTTATCCCTAAACTACTGTGCTTCAAATTCTTGTGCCTGCTTTTCATAATTACTGTTTCGTCTCTCCCTGTTGACTGTCAAACAACAACAATAACAAAACAGGACCATTAATGGTGCTCCAAGCCCTGTGCTAAGGATGTTTTGTGTATTAGCTCATTTAATTCTCACAAGGTAGGTCCTTTTATTATTCTCATTTTGCAGTTTAGGAAACCAACTTAAGCAGTCAAGAGCTTTGACCAAGGCCATTCAGTAGTAAGTGACAGGGGTGCCACTTGAACCTAACAGGTCTGACCCCAAAGCCCAGGCTTATAATCACCACGATCACCTCTGTGACACTGCCTATAGAAGCCCCTCTCCCTACTTCTAATTTGCTTCTTTAAGTCTGCCAAAGGATAAGAAACAAGATAGCCAGGTTAGAGAACTCTGTGTAAAGTAAGAATAAACAGATGAGATGGGAGGTGCCACAGATGGAGAGGGCACAGGGGACAGGGTGTCCTCCATGAAAATGTTAACTTTTGAACATTTAAATATAAAGGCACATCTAGTGAACAGAGAAACTAAAAGACAAAGCTGGGTGTGCACAGACCCTGGAAGAGAATGCTGGGGCTTCTGACAGTCCAGGGACCAGGCTTTCTTTCAGGAAAGAAGCCAATGGACAGAGCGGGAGCTTTGGCCAGCTTCCCTCCGTTTCACTCTGCAGCAGCAATTACATGCTAGGGGGCAGCACCTAGTGTCATTCCAGGGTCTACAGACCAGAGAACCAAAGACCGCACCCCTGCCTGAAGAGAGAATATCCTCCTGGTTGAAGTGTGGGGTCTAGATTCAAAAGATGTGGGCTCTAGTTCCTGCTCTGTCATTTACTCACTATGTGTCTTTGTGAAAGTAAATGTGACTTCTCTGAGCCTTAGTTTCTTAATCTGCAAAATCAGAATACTAAGAATATCCACTTGATAAGCTTGATGTGAGAATGAAAGGATGAAGGCAACCTACACAGATTAGTACTTAGTCCACAGCAAGCACTCAATGGCAGGAGCTGCTATGGCTGCCTGTCTCAGCAGCAGGAAGTCGCAGACATCACTTACATTTACTTGGGGTACACTGTAACCCAACACTGTCCTAAGCCTTTTACCTGTGGATTCCCTCATTCCTCACAATACCCCATGAAGGTAGTCATTATCATCTCCACTTTATAGTTGAGGATGAAGCTGAGACCCAAAGAGATTTCCCAATTTGTCCAAGATCACAGAGCATGCCAGTGAGTGGCAGAACACAGAGGGGGGGGGGTCCAACAAGTTGCAGCTACCCTGATGTGGTGTCCATAGTGGCAATGGGGAGGCGGGATGTCTTCCTCTGCCACATACCCACTGCCCACCAACTAAGGTCCACACTGGATCCAGTCCTCAAGGAGCTTCTAGTCAAATGGCACAGACAGATGCAAACTAAGGCACCACAGCAAGGACACAACAGAGTTTTTGGAGAGAAGTTTGCAGGGGAATTTCTGGAAACCACAGAGCACCATTCAGACTTAGAGTAAGAAATTTTCCATTTTGCCCTGAGTCTGGCCATTGAGAAGAGCACAGTCTCTGCAGCAGATCTCAGGCCCAGTGCCACTCTGTAGTGGAAACTGGTCCCAGAAACTTACTGTTCTTGGTAATAAAAACATGCCAGGATTTCTTTTCCTCTCATTGTTAGGGGTCTCAAATGCTCAATTCATAACACACAGAAGGTCTTGCAGACCATTCAGTTGATGAAGTCAGTCCTTCTGTTCCACCCATGGAGTGTGAATGAGGGTCTCTACAGTCATGCTCTTCTTGACCCTCCAAGGATGAGCACACTGCTGGGGCTGGGGCCACCCCACCCCATCCAGCAAAAGACTGGCACTCAGCGGTTACCAGCGGCACCTATGACTCCTGCCTTTATGGGCTCACAGTCCTTTCAAGGAAGGAAAGCATCTTACTAGCAGTGAAGCTCTATTCTCGCCTTGACACCAGTAGTCAACTTTTTACTTCTTTCTAAATGAGTTAAGGAAATGCTGAGCTTCTATACTACCAAGAAAGGAAAAGACTTGCCTTTACACTGAGGCAGTATCTAGTCTGATCACAAACTAGAGGGCTCAAAGATCTACATGTCAAATATTGATGTTTGCAGGGTCCTGGGCAGGTGGAAAACTAGATACAGCCAGGGTGAGATAAACTGTGAAAGGATAAGGGCTTCTCATTACACTTAGACTCCAATCCCAACTTCTTATCAGGCAGCACAAGGCCTGTCTGATCTGGGCCCCAAAAGTCTTCCAGCCCTGGTCACAGCACTTCTTCCTTTAACAGACCTCTAACCACATGGGCCTCCTGGAAGAGAGTTGGGGGGCGGGGAGCTTTGCCCTAGCCGACTTTTACCTAGAAGGCTACATAGCTGGCTCCTTTAGACCCTGAAGCATTAGCTAAGATGTCACCTCCTTGGAGAGACCTTCCCTGACTTCCCTGTCTAAAAAAGGATTTTCTTTCCTCGTCTCTTTCTCCCCCAACCCCATCTCCTTATTCATCTCTTTCACAGCACTCGTGCTGCTCCTGAGGCTGTTTGCCTTCAGAACCATTCCTCATCCTCTCCTGTGTTTCCCAGGTGTGCCAGCAGGATTCTGGCTAGGTTTGGCCCATAGCCATTGGAGGAACCTGGAAGGTGCAGGAAGGGTCAAGCTAGGTATTACCTCCCCCCATCTCTGCCTTGGGAGGCATGTCTGCAGCTGCCACCTCTCCCACTTGGCTCCAGTTTCCACTAGAAAGGCCATCACAGTTCCCCCTTCCCCAGGGTGACCCCACCTTGTCTCTCCTGTCCTGGGTGGTAGCTGCACCCTACTGTGTCTCATGCCTAAGCTGCCTCTTTCCCCTATTTGGCGTCTCAGCTCTCTACCACCTGTGTAACCGATTCCCTGCATTAAAAGTCTAATACTTCATTGGTTTCTGATTTTCTGGTTGGACCCTGACTGATACAGCACTTATCATAACTTGTAATTTTTAAATTAATTTGTCCAGTTACTTAATTATTGTCTAGACCCAGGGACTCTATCTATCTTGTTCATTATAACATCTCCAGTCCCAGCGCAGCACCGGCAAATAGTAAGCTGTGTTCATTAGTAATGCAAAATGTTCGTCAAGTGATTAAAAGAAGTTCAATTGATGTCTTCCAAGAAATCCTCAAATTTCCAAAAAGAAAAGAAATGCCATTTGGAAATAGTATATATTTTTGCACAGCGTTTGTTATTAAAACAGTAGCAGACTAAGTGGGTTTTGATCTTTTCAATGCAACAGTGGTACCGAGGCATCCCTCAATAAGTAAGAGGTGAGTTACGTGGTCTTGGTTAAGAAACCAACACAGCTCCAGGGACATACCAGTCCCCATGAGGTGCCTCATCTTAGGACAAACACCCGCAGCCTGCCTAGTTCTGCATGACTCTGTGTACACGAATGCGAAGCCTTGAGAACACACCTTTTTGCGGTCTCCACAGACTTCTGCTCTGCCAGCTCCTTCTGCAGCTCTCTCTCCTTGGCTTCCTTTTGCCCGATGGGGCAGTCCTCTGGGACGGTGAACAGGGACAGGGCATCTTTGCTGTCCTCTTCTCGGAGCACTTTAGCAAACACCTTCTCGGCCAGGAGCCGGACTTGCTCATCCACTTCAGAGATGTTCAGCTTGGGAAACTGGCGTGGCATCTCGGCTAGCAAAGGAAGGACAAGCATTAACTTCGTGAATTGCAGATGCCCTGAGTCTCCAGCATCGGGGAGGAGAAGGCACTGAAGGGAGAGCCAGGCCCACCTGGTACTTGGGGCCAGCTGTCGACTTAGGAATTCCCCGGACCAAACCCAGCATGCCAATTTCAAAATTAGCTCAATAAGTAACTGGATGTGAAGCACGTGGGGCCACTTATGTCTCAGGAGAAAGCAAGTGTTCAAAATTCAAAGAATGAACTGTTTAACTAGATGAGCTTCCATTTTTCCAAACTCAGGGATTCTGCAGCACACTGGCAGCCCTGGCCTCCTGACTTTGTTCCCATGTTTGAGAAGGGGCAAGAGAGAGTTCAGCTCTCCCTCCTCCAGACAATGAAGATACTGTTATAGCTGCAACAACAATCAAACCTCACTCCCCCACTTCACATAGGGAAAGCCCAAAGCCCAGAGGCTTTAACAGCTAAGGTCCCACAAGATTATAGCAGAGCCCTGGGAAAGCCAAAGCTGCATTCTTCGTGACATAAAACAAGGCCTTTTGCTGAAGAGAAAGAATCTGCAATTGCAGTTCCAAACCCCCTGGAACCCTCTACGAGACACAGCAAATAAAATAAAGGTGTTAGGACAGGAACACTCTTTACCCAGCTGAAAACTCACTCCCCTAAAGCAGGTCTTGATATCTACCTCCTCACATACTGGTTCTTTACTAACAGTCACTGGCCTCAATCACCTGCTCGATGGGTTGGGTTTCACTCTTGCTTGGTTGCTTTCTCCATTTTCTTCTTTCATTTTTTGCAATAACTTATATAGCACTTAATATGTACACTCTGGCTGGACATGGTGGCTCGCACCTATAATCCCAGCACTTTGGGAGACCAAGGCGGGCGGATCACCTGAGGTCAGGAGTTCGAGACCATCCTGGCCAACATGGCAAAACCCCATCTCTACTAAAAATACAAAAAAATTAACCAGGCATGGTGGTGGGCACCTGTAATTCCAGCTGTTTGGGAGGCTGAGGCAAGAGAATCGCTTGAACCTGGAAGGCAGAGGTTACAGTGAGCCAACATTGCGACACTGTGCTCCAGCCTGAGCAACAGAGTAGGACTCCACCTCAAAACCAAAAAAGAAATGTACACTCCGAGGTCAGGTGTGGTGGCTCACCCCTGTAATCCCAGCACTTTAGGAGGTCAAGACGAGAGGATTGCTTGAGCCTAGAAGTTTGAGACCAGCCTGGACAACATGGCAAAACCTCATCTCTAAAAAAAATAAGAACATTAGCCACGTATGGTGATGCATGCCTGTAATCAAAGCTACTAGGGAGACTGAGGCAGAAGGATCTCTTGAGCCAAGGAGGTTGAGGCTACAGTGAGCCACAAACGCGCTACTGCACTCCAGCCTGGAAGACAGGGTGAGATCTTGTCTCAATTTAAAATATATATATATATATTTAAATTTAAATTTAATTAAAAATATATATTTAAAATATATTTTTAAAAATATATATATATGCAAAGAACTTCATGTTTATTAACTCGGTTAATCTTATTATTCCATTTGACAGATGAGAAAATGACGGCATAGAGAGCTAACATGCCCAGGGTCACACTTTTAATAAATTAGCAGAGATTTGTGCTGTTCTCAGCTTTTTTCCCCCATCCCTTTCCTCTCTGATTCTCGGCTCAGCGATCTGAACCCAGGCACCTGGTTCCTGCGTCTGTGCCCTTACCCACCATGCTGTGCTGCTTCTCTTCGTCCATGTGGGTGTCCGAGCAGGGGCTCCCTACAGTCCCCGGCACAACATTTGTGGAATGGATGGAATACTGCACCCTTTTCAACAAGCCACCCTCACTGGGAACAGCTCTGGAAGAGAAGTTTCCTATCTATCTATGACCACAGTTTCTTTAAGATTGGTTTAAAAAGAGAAGCGGTTTTGTGGACCAGACAGACAAGGATGGAAGTGAGACAGAGTCTGGCAGGGAGAAGTGCAGCTACAGGAGAGGGGAACGCGCTGGGCCATCTTGAGACAGTCCTTCTCCGTCCTCACAATGTTCTCATCTGTGAGACAAAGGGATTGAACTAAGTGGTCTCTAAGGCCCTCTCAGCTCTAAGTGGCATAATTCTAGGTACAGAGAGATTTCCGGTGCCTGAGGAGGGCTTTCTGCTCTGAGTGGCACGTGGGGCTAAGTCATGACACAGACAGGAAGGAGGAAAGCAGGCTAGTAACAGGCAGTCAGAGCGAAGTCTGCGGCTCCCTTAATTCTGAGACCCAAGGACCTGCCTCACCCTGATGGGGGGAGTGGGAGGGAGCCAGTGGGGAAGAGCCTCTCAGCACATAACTGTCTGGGGAGCAGACACCAAGGCAGCAAGTCCTGGCCTCTGCAAAGAGGAAGAGGAACAAAGCTGACTGTAGGGATTTCCATGTCTTCATAGCAGAGAGGGGGGAAGCTAGAGGCGATCAGAGAAGGTGGCAAGGGAGAGAAAGGCTGGAACAGCACAAAGAACCAGACCCAGGAGGCTCCATCAGGCTGAAACAAAGCTCGATCCTCACCTCCCCGCTTATTCCAAGGCCATAAGTCAAGGGCACTGTCCCAAAACCTCACATCGCATCTCAGAAGACATCAAACAGGCCCAGGCAAAAGGCCACAAATGCCATAAAGCACCACACCATTTGACTAAGCAACTTCACTTCTAGAAATTTCTTTTAAAAAAGGAATCTTAGAAATGAAAAGCACGAGGATATTTACCTACACTCTTTACACAAATAGCTTTAAAATGCCCAAATTAGAGCATACTCACTTGAAAAAGGTGTTAAGCAATCAGAATTATAATTATGAGGATGATGCAATCACATTTTTTAAAAAACACAAAAATACAGTAAATGAAAAGATTAATACATAAAACTATACCCATGCTTTATTTACAGAGATAGGAAAATGCAACCCTTTATGGACAAGGCCTGCAAGAGATTCACACATGCAAAATGCGCAGATGGCAGGGCTGCCTGTGTGTAAGAGGATATTTTATTTTGATGATGAATGCTATTATAATGCCATTTTGAACAAATACAAAGAGAATAGAAAGAAAATGAGTAGACTTAAGACTCCATTAAAAAAGAGAAAAATAAAACAAATCAAACTTATTTTTCTAGCAGGTTTTGGCAATTAAGGCTCCCTCCCACCTAACCCACAGGAATGAGAGGCCAGGTTTGGAGTTTTATTATTGAGACCTAGTCTGCGTTAGCTCCTACACTGGACAGAAGCCGTTCACCACCACCAGCACCCTCCTACCTCCTCTGCGCCCACAGACACACACAGGCCTGATGACCCAGACACCCCCCTCCAGGCTCCCTCAGTGATGGGTATTTGAGTGGGAGGGAAGTCCTTGATGTCTGAGCGCTCTTATGCCAGATCCTGCCATGTCTGTTCATGAAGCTTTTTTTTTTTTTTTTTTTTTTTTTTTTTTTTTTGAGACAGGGTCTCTGTTGTCCAGGCTGGAGAAGAGTGGCACAATCACAGCTTACTGCAGCCTCGACCTCACAGGCTCAGGTGACCCTCCCACCTCAGCCTCCCAAGTAGCTGGGACCACAGGCACACACCACCATGCACAGCTAATTTTTGTATTTTTAGTAGAGATGTGGTTTCACCATGTTAGCTAGGCTGGTCTCAAACTCCTGGCCTCAAGTGATCTGCCCACTTTGGCCTCCCAGAGTGCTAGGATTACGGATGTGAGCCATCACAGCCAGCATACAAAGCATTTTTAGCTTGCTCCAGTCAACTAAACATACTTTTCAGGACACAGCTTTCTATAAAAGATCTTCCTTTCTCTTTAGCTTTCCCAAGTCTACCTTTCCCAAACTGGATGCTGTAAGAAATTGACACCTGTTGCTGGTAAAACAGGTCCTGTGGCCAGTTATTGGGAGATGCTGCATTCCACAGCCCCTCAACTCACATTCACAAGGCTCATTAAAAACTCTAGGATCATAGAGTTGTATTACCATACAGAACGCTTTTTGTTTTACAGAATCCATATAAATCTTCTGCAGAACTACTACCAGTGTCTCAAATAGTTGGTAGAGAATTCATTCCAAGGCCAGGCACAGTTGCTCATGCCTATAATCCAAGCATTTTGGGAGGCCAAGAAGGAATGATCACTTGAGGCCAGGAGTTCCAGATCAGCCTGGGCAGCATGTCAGAACCTTGTCTCTATAAAAAATATTTTAAAATAGCCAGGCGTGGTGGTACACACCTGCAGTCCCAGCTATTTGGAAGGCTGAAGTGGGGGGATTGCTTGAGTCCTGGCGGTGGAGGCTGCAGTCAGTCATAATGGCACCACTGTACTCCAGCCTGGGTAACAGAGCAAGACCTTGTCTCAAAAACAAACAAAAAAGCAAAAAAAAAAAAAAAAAAAAAAAAAAAAAAAAAACAAAGCAAGAAACAACAACAGAAGAATTCATTCTGTATCTTAGTATGGACCAAGTAACCGACTTGGGGTGCTGTGAGCCTTAGTAGCTGCCCACACATCTGCTGCCTTCTGGATGTCCTTGGCAGACAGCTCCCACCTGCCAACCCGTCCCTCCATGTGTCTCCTCTCTCAAACCCTCCAGACACCTGCCAGGCCAGGCATGCCAAGGAAAACGCACTCTACAGATACCAAGCAGAGCTACAGCTACAGCTGCCTATTCACGCCTGGCTTCCAATCATTTGTCAGCTGAAGCCAGCAGGCTTGGGAGGCTTAACTGTGAATTCACCAGCACCAGTCAGCCAGTGATACAGCTTATCTTACTGTCACATGCGACACGCTCCGATGAGCTTGAAGAAGTGTCCCAAAGTTAGAAAGTTCTAAAACACTGCCAGTTTCAACAAACAGTAACTTTTCATGGTGCCACAGCTCCTCCAGAAAGGAAGCCCAGTGCCACTAAAGTCCCCTTCTTACACAAAGGAAGCTGGTTCCTACTTTTGCCAGTCTCCCCTCACAGAAGCCCCAACACAGACCT